TAGCGAAATAGTTATGATTTTTGTCAACTAGTACACTGGAATTGGCCGAAAATAGAGCTCAAAGTTGGCAAAATCGCCGATGCGTAAACATCGTCAAGACCGCTAATTTCGCGAGAGCATAATTCCGTAAGTTTTCCATCAAATTTCATACTTTTGGTGTCATTATGATCGGGAATAGATTCTCTATCATTTCATAAGAATTTTTTTTTTTTTAAATTTTAGCAACCCTGAGAACAAGTCTCTGAGAGGGCCTGGTGACCCCCAAAGGGTTAAATTAACTGAAATGCAACAAATCCGTTCTGGCTCTCAGGAGGCAAGACAAAATATACTTCAATATTTCACTAATATCAACTCTACGGCTTATTTATTTATCACAATTCATCTAATATGACATAATAAACAATATTAATAACACAGAAACATGATATATACACTAGAATGAATGAAATATTAAGTATGTGAGTAGTGTTAGTGAAGGCGGAGACACAGCGGCCATTGTTGTTGTGGTGTACAGGTCTCCCTCAACATTCACTTTTTCCACTTTCATGGGCTTCGAACATTCGCAAATTCCCAGTCACCCAACCTTATTTAAAATATGTCATTACATATGTTAGGAATTGTGGTGGCGGCAGAGTTCGTTTGGAGACAGGACAAGATAGTCTTTCAATATGACACTAATATCAACTCTACAGCTTATTTATCTCTCACAATTCGTCTAATACGACATAATAAACAATATTAATAACATAAAAACATGAAATATACTCTAGAATGAATAAAATACGTCATTAAGTATGTCAGGAGTGTTGTGTTGTTGTTGTTGGGTGTAAAAAGGCCACTGAGAGATAAGCCTTACATGGTGGTGGTGGAGGTGGCAGCAGAGGCGGTAGAGACTAGAGATGGCAGTGTTGTCAGTCGCCCTATACAACTCCAACAACATTGGAGGAATTAGGTTTGCGCTTTCCTTTTCTAACGATTAATCGCTTAACTTATTTGCTACACTGTTAATGCTACATTTTATCGTTGGTTGGCACTATAGCCTTTATCGACTCGTGCTGCTTTAATATCGTACATATCATAGAATCACTGAAGAAGGCACATTCTCCCCTCTCTCTTCCTCCTCCACTTTGGTACTCTGCTACAAGTTCTTTCTTGAATTCTATAGTCTTTCTCACCTTCTTTACCAAAGGGCTGGCACTAGCACAATATTTTATGATGTTTTCATGTGTTTTATGATTGTTCACAGTTCAACAGGTTAAGGAAGCAGTATGTTAGGCTACGTAAATGCTATTATTATATTTCCCTACAATATATTTGTGCACCAAACATTTGCGAGGTTCTTGATCCCCTAACCCTCACGAATGTGGAGGGAGACCTGTATAGGGCCACCACAGCGGCCATTCCCACTCCTGACATACCTTCCCATGCTTTTATTATAACAGAAAATGGAGTGTTTGTAAGGCAAACTCCTACATACATAGTTTCACAAGGAAAACAACGACAACAATAATAATAATACATAAAGAAATTATGTAGTAATATAGCACTTACCTTGGAGAAGAGATGCTGGGTACATTGGCATATGGTGTCAGGAGTTTATTTCATTTCGTCCTTTTTCAGAATGTTTCGGTAATGACTTACGCAAGCATCATTACATAGTTCCAGTGCACAACCACTTGAAACTTTCTCTGGGTGATACACCCTTAATCTTATGTACACTTAATTGCTATGCTCTTACTGATGCATTTGTCACACTTTCATCTGCAAGGCATTTCAATAAAAAACTGTCCATGTTAAACAATGATTTCCTGCTTTAAATCCATAGTAATCATCCTCTTCTTCTTCTCAGCACTCTGCTGTGGACTTGCTTTCTTAGGACCCATGGTTAGAAACAAGAAATTGTGAAATAACTGCACGAAATGCAAGGAAAACACGAGAAATCCTTCACCAGCGAGGTAAGCTCAGTGAACTGCTGAGCTTTGTTTTAATACGCACTATCTCATGGTGGCATACTCAAACTAGCTTATTATACGTAGTACATACATATTATTATTATAATTATTATAGTAAGTTTATTCAGGTATACACAAATGCATTTCCATAGATTATCATACATAGCAAATGTGTAGAGAACCTAGGATAACCCAAAAAAGTCAGAGAGACTTATTTCCACTGGCGTATTACATATTAATATACAGTACTATTATTATTATACATATTATTATGTTACATGTATTATTATTCTCCATGGGGAAGTGGAACAGAATTCTTCCTCTGTAAGCCATGCGTGTTGCAAGAGGCAACTAAAATGCCGGGAGCAAGGGCCTAGTAACCCCTTCTCCTGTATAAATTACTAAATTTAAAAAAAGAAACTTTTTTTTTTCTTTTTGGGCCACCCTGCCTTGGTGGGATATGGCCAGTTTGTTGAAAAAAAAAAAGTATTATTATATGTATTATTACTATTATTACATATTATTATCATTATTCTTAATTAGTATATACGTATTCTTATAATAATAACTCTTGCTTACCATTTTGAATTTTTATTCACACAAGAAACAGAATATTTACTGTTATGAAGACTACTGCATTATTGTAATAATTGTATAAATAATGTTAACCCATTCATGACTGCATATTAGATTGGGCAGTTGGACATGCATTGGACAGTGAACGTCATTTGTATACTTTGAAACATCGGCAAAAATCAAACATTACTGCTACTTGGAGCTCAATTTCAAGGTACTTTTCTCTGTGAAAGCAATCAAAATCATATCTATTTCTGTAATATATCTTCCATTCTATCAAATGACACCAAAATAACGAGAATACAACCATAAAAACCATACAAAAATATACCGCTAAGGGGCAGCTAATGGCTGACAAGTGAACTCTGTATTTATGGTCTGATTTCTTTCAATTTTGGTGTATGTTAAGAAACATCTTTCCATCATACATTGCCCAAGTTTCAATAAGAGAGTCCACCAAACAAATGAGATCCAATTCCCTACTTCTCTTAACCCTTTCAGGGTCCAAGGCCAAAATCTGAAGAGGTACCCCAGTGTCCAAGAAATTTTTGGGGAAAAAAAAAAAAAAAAAAAAAAAAAAAATAATAATTTCTTACAGAATTAAAGATAATATTTTTGTGAAGGTAATAATAATAAAAAAAATTCTGATCAGTACTTACCGAGATACAGCGGCGGGAAGTTGACCCAAAATGACCAGGTGGGGGCAACATCAGTGACTTCCACAAAATTGCATATTTTTTATTTTAATTTTTTACACTTTTTTTTCTTTTCTAATTTTTTTCTTTTTCTAGTAACATTTTTGCCCTGTGAGACCAATATAATGTATATTGTATAAGTGTACACTCATTGTATTCAACACAATAACTGCACTAATTTGTTTAGCATTATATTGCTTACAAAACTTGTTTACAAGTTTATTGTAAACAAAATGAAGAAAATATTAATGCAGTTATTGTGTTGAATACAACAGTACCATATAGTACCTTTACAAAAATTCAATGTATGTCAAAGGCCTTAAAATCTGGAACACCCTACCTGAAAACTCTAGAACTGCAGATTATATTCATCACCTTCAAAACTACCATTAGAAAACATCTTATCTCCCTGATACACCCCGTCAACTAATTACACGAATACCACCTGGTGGTTCACACTTACACTCACTCACCCATTTGACCATAAACAGAAATATCAATCTCAATCTTAAAATAATGAATCCTAACTAGTCATAAGTTGGCCTGTGATACTCCAATACTGAAACTATGTATTGTGCCAAAACAAAAGCCTTCACATTGCTAAACTCACAAACTAGTATTTAGTCACTTAGCCATAATATCAACTTGCCTCATAATTTGTAATATTTTAAATTTAAGAATTAATCTAAGTCTGCCCGAAATGCTTGGCCATGCTAGGTGTTCTAGTGGCACCCTCTGTAATTAGTACAGTGGACCCCCACTTAGCGATCACCTCCCAATGCGACCAATTATGTAAGTGTATTTATGTAAGTGCGTTTGTACGTGTATGTTTGGGGGTCTGAAATGGACTGATCTACTTCACAATATTCCTTATGGGAACAAATTCGGTCAGTACTGGCACCCGAACATACTTCTGGAATGAAAAAATATCGTTAACCGGGGGTCCACTGTACTTTACTACATGTAAACCACACAATAACCAAATTCTGTAAACTCAGCATTAATCCTTATAGAGAATAAACTTTGAATTTGAATATGGTACAATGGTGCCATAGGGTGCAATGGTACGATATGGTACAATGGTATCATATGGTACAATGGCACCATATGGTACAATGGCACATGATACAATGATACCATGATACAATGGTACCATATTATACAATGGTACCATATGGTAGAATATGGTACATTATAATAATAATAATAAGAATAAGAATAATAATAATCAAAAAGAAGCGCTAAGCCACAAAGGCTATACGGCGCTGCAGGGTAGGGAAGGAAGCGAGGGTACTGGGCTGCAGAAGGGGGGAGGGATGATCAGTAGGTTACAGAAAACAGCGGGGCAGGGGATAGTGAGGGGGTAGAGGGCAGCAAGAGATTGAGGTAGAAAGGGCTGAAGGTATCATCAGAGTTTGTGAAGTAAGTCAGTTGTCAAAAAGTCAATGAGAGAGTCCAGATGAAAGGTGGGTCCATCAGCAAGAAGGGAAGGTAAAGAGAGAGCAGCGGAGCAAAGACGACATTGGAGGTATATTCTGCGTGCTCGTTGATAAAGTGGGCAGTCTAATAGAATGTGGCTAACCAATAATGAAACCTGACAATTCTCACAGAGAGGAGCAGGGCGCCTCTCCATGAGATAACCACGAGTAAGACGAGTATGGCCAATGCGAAGACGGGAGAGAGTAGTCTCCCAACCTCGACACTGGTGACAAGAAGATGGCTAGTAACCTATACTCGGTTTAATAGATTGAAGTTTGTTACTGAGCAGAGTAGACCAATGTCGTTGCCAACGGGTGTTAAGGTGCGTAGCTATTGCAGCAAAATAGTCCGTAAATGGAACACCTCTATATGAAACTGGTAGGTCATGTACTGCTGACCACGCAGCAGTGTCTGCCTGTTCATTGCCCTGTACGTCAACATGACCAGGGACACAACAAAAAACAACATCTTTATGCTTGGAAGTGATGCGGCATAGCCAAAGTTGGATATGGAGGACTAAGGGGTGAGGTGTATCAAATTTCTGTATAGCCTGTAAAGCACTAAGGGTGTCTGAGACAACCACAAATGATGACACAGGCATAGATGCAATACGGATAAGTGCTGCAAGAATGGCATACAATTCAGCAGTAAAGATACTAGCTGAAGATAGTAAATGCCCTCGTATGACGCCGCCCAGAAACACTGCTGCGAATCCTACGCCGTCAGAAGACTTAGAGCCATCTGTGTACACTGCAATGGCATGTGAATGAGAGTGGAAGTGGTCAAGAAAAAGAGAGCGGGAAGCTACCGTAGACAGTTGGGCTTTCGAGCAAGGGAGTGAGAAAGAACAGACTCGAACAGCTGGAACTTCCCAGGGGGGTAGGGAAAAGGGAGATGCTACACGAACATAGAAAGGTGGTAATTGAAGAGAAGACAAGAGTAAATGTAGGCAAAGGGAGAAGGGACGGAGCAAACAGGGGCGGCGAACAAATAAAGAATGTCGGTGACCATTCTATAAATGGAAGTATTGCGGAGATCATGAGAGCATACATAAGCGAAGGCAATGGGCATCACAGCGATCGGATAAGGATGGAATGTTCACTTCTGCATAGAGGCTCTCAACAGGGGAAGAGCGAAAAGCACCAAGGCATAAACGTAATCCTTGGTGATGAATGGGGTTAAGGCTAGAGAGAGTAGCAAGAGGGGCCGCTGAATAGATCTGGTCACAATAATCAAGTTTCGATAAAATGAGGGCGGAATGTAGGCAAAGGAGAGTTCGACGATCAGCTCCCCATGAAAGATGAGCAAGGGTTTTAAGAAGGTTCAGCCGGCTGTGTCAAGTTGCCTTCAGAGAGGTAATGTGAGGTGTCCAGGATAACCTACGGTCAAAGAGGAGGCCTAGAAACCTGACTATCACATTCAGGGATACGGGAGCCATAGAGGTACAAAGGATGATTGGAGATGACAGAGCGTCTAGTGAAAGTAATTTGGCGAGTTTTTGGTACTGGAAAATTTAAACCCATGTGTGGTGACCCAACTGGAAACACAGTCGACTGCATGTTGGAGAGAAACTGTAATGAGGTGACAGTCAGCACCTGCACATGCAATAGTGAAGTCATCAACAAAGAGTGATGACCAAATATTGGATGGAAGACTAGAGGCCAAATCATTTATAGCAAGGAGAAAAAGTGTTGTGCTCAGAACACATCCCTGGGGGACACCTTCAGCTTGGATAAAGTCCGGGGAGAGCACATTATTAACCCGAACACGGAAATGTCTGTCAGTTAAAAAGTTCTTAAGGAAGGATGGTAGATTGCCTCGAAGGCCTAAGGAGTGGGCTTGGGCCAAAATATTATACCTCCAAGTTGTGTCATATGCCTTCTCAAGGTCAAAAAATATGGCAATAACTGAGTGGTTATTCACAAAGGCATTACGAACATATGTATCGAAGCGTAGTAAGAGAGACTGTTGTGTCTCTCTAAATACCACACTAAACGTCTATTTACCAGGCATTCCATCACTGCAAACTGCACTGGTAAGAGCAATGGGATGATAGTGGGAGGCTTCATGTCCCGTAATACCCAGTTTGCAGAAAGGGAGAACAATGGCAGATTTCCACAGCTGTGGAAGAACTCCCTGTGACCAAATAAGATTGAAAAGGCATAATAGGACTGCAAGAGCTACGATGTAATGTTGTAGCAAAAAATG